TCTCTATAACGGTCTCTCTCTATAACGGCCTTTTTTTGCCAAATCAGGCGGGCCGTTATAGAGAGAGTGAACTGTATTTTTAACAAATTAAATTGAGATAAATGCTTTTATGATTAAAAAAAAAATTCAATGATCCAAAAAGATCTCGATACTAAGACCAGACCGCGGTTCATTTATTCTGGACCAGACCATTAACATCAGGAAGTTTTGAACCTGCCTGGTTACAGACAAAAATGTGCACGATGTAAATATTATAATTATATAAGTTATATGAATCAAATGGAAGATATAAAAGGCGTTTAAGAAGATACCAGCTCAGGTTTTACAATATTTTCTTAATAATAGTAATAACAATAGCAATGAATCATCCTCATTATCATCACCATTACCACCGTCAACAACAACAATAACAACAAATTCAAGGGTAATTCATCAACCCGTTAAGAATTTCCTAGACCGAGTTTCAGAATTTGTTTGCAAAATCAATTTATCAATGTTTATAAATTACAAAATCCAAAAAAAAATAACAAAATACTGAAAATGATGATAACAATTAAGATAAAATGCTGGTTATAATGAGGACGAGGAAGATAATTTTAGTACTGATTAAAATGAAGAAGATGATAAAGAAGAGGGAGAGGGATGAAGAGAGGAAGAAGAAGATGGCGATAGTTGAACATCTGATTAAAGAAGCTTGTCTATAACATAACAATGCTATCTTTTTTACGATTTTTTTTGATTTTTTAAAATTTGTACTAGCAGGTATCTAAAACTTATAGCAAAAATTACGTTTGAAATATGAAGGTTGATAAAACATTTTTAAAATATGGCTTTGTTGTGTTGTAGAGACATGTTCTACGAGTTCAAACCATTAAAAAGTCTCATCTGCATGATGATTTATGACAATTTATGGAAAAGGCGATTTCTTTAATATTAATTATATCGGACACTTTGACGGGTGAACGACACCACAAAGTTCAAAAATGGCAAGTAAACATCACTATTAATCATACGTAGCTCATGGTATTTCGTTTTTTCCGAAGCAACAAAGGCTAATACTAAGTACCAAAATATTCAACATCGCCAGGGATTATAAAACCCTAATCAACTTTGATAGTGTCAAGTGATGTCTTCAAGATTTTGTTTTGTTTCCTCAAATGGAATAATAATAAACGAACATCTTTTTAATTTATTTTTAGCTTGCATATATGACTGTTTATAAAAATCTGTCTTATTATTATAGTCGCATTTTGTTATCAAATTATGTATTATGTATCGATAATAATAACAGCCAAGCGTCATCTTAGTCAAAAGTGATTTTCCGGTGATCATTATCGGATTTCACTACTGTTGATTTTCTATTGTCTCTGCTCTGGTGACGGGTATTAATACTGTTTTGTATGGTACTATGTAAAAATTTCCATTTACCATTATCAGTAACAAATTTGTTGGATTCACTTGAATTGCTTTCTTGACAGCAATTTTTACTTTCTGATTTTAATTTTAGTTGTAATGGTAGCGGATGATTCCATTTCATATCTGAATTGGAAACCTCGTTTATTTCTATGGTTATAATTAGATTTGTCAGATTTGCGACGTTTTCATCTTACACCCTGTTAGATTTATAATATTACTAGTATTATCGTTATTCGCTTATTTTATAGGTGGATGTCATATTTTATGATCTCTGCTTTTTACTTTCCTTTAGGATGTTTATTTTTTATAATTAATAACTATATAAATTAATTATTCAATATAATCATTATCATTTGCATTATGGAGTTAGGGAGGCTACATTATTTTTAGCAATTCTGGGTTCTGGATAAATTAAATTTAATTCATTATTTTTCTTAACGTTGTAATGCAGTAGATCTACTCTATGAGCAATGGGCTTTACAGTGATTTAAGGTTAGTATTATTATAGTAGTAGTAGTAGTAGTAGTTTTGGTTTTAGTTTTAATAAGCCTTTTTAGATTATTAACTAATCCTCCCAAAGAACCATCGGATTAGCTTTAGTAATAGCAAAATAATTATCTTGGTAATTACAATTAAAAAATTTTTTAATAATTAATTGACTGATCATATATTGTTATATGATGTCACAATAAATTATAATTATTGCACCGAACGCATCATATTCAATTTTTAATAATGTAAATTCAAAAAAAAAATTTATACATGTAAATTAATAAATAATAGAAGATAAATGCCGATTATTATCATTTTTTATTTTTTCTTCCTTCTCTTTCTAATTTTTCTTTTAATTCTGTAGCTTTGGCTTAAAAAAAAAAGGTGAACGGAAGCAATAATTATAACATTAATAATTAGTAATATTACTACAACGCATATCTAAATAATATTAACTCAAACACATGTATATACTTATATGTATATATTTACCATCAGCCTCGGCTTTTCTTTTCATTGCTGCTTCTTCTCTCTCTTTTTTAATTATTGCTAACCGTGCTAAATCAGTTTTGGCCTGTTCTGTTTTACCTTCTTTATGCAACTTCCAATATCTTTGCCTCGCTGCTTCTTTTTCTGCTGCCTCTCTATATTTAATAATAACATATTAAATTTATTAAATTTAATAAAATAAATATATATATATATATAAAAATTATGAATTATCATCATTTATCATCTACCTTTCTCTACGAGACATCTCAGGTGTTATATTTGACATATCTGATGCTTTTAAATTATCTTTCCTCAATGTTCTATTTGGATTATCTATCTCTATAAGATTTGTTGCCGATTTATTCTATATTGGAAACAACAATGATTGATTTATTGGGTTGATTGATTAATTGATCACATAGGTCAACTAACTAACTAGCTAACTTACTTTACTTTCAAAATCAACTAATTAATTAAATTAAATTAAAATATAATAAATACTAATGTTTCATCCTCATCTTCACTTCTAGATTCTTTCCTTTCCGCATTCGTCTTTTTGGTATTTCTAGCGGTTGTGTTGGTTCCCTCTTCACCTTCTTCTTCACCGTCACTCTTTTCCTTCTCTTCCTCGCTGCTCTCGTTCTCCTCTTTTTTATCACGTTGCTAATTTCATACATGTTTGTAAACCTTCAATATTGTACTAAAACTAACTGATCAGTTTTCGTATCAATGAAAATTTTTAACTTACATTCAACCTTCTTTCATCTTCAGCAAGAATTCGTGCATTAGTAAATCTATGGCCAGTACCACGACTTGGTTTATTAAATTTCCTACTGTTATTTTTTGGCGGTGACATTTTCTATTTTCCAATATTAATGTTATTGCTTTGTTTCTTATATTTTTATTTTTCAGATTTTTTTTTCCAAGTAAATGTACCTGCGTGATTAAAACTTTTTTTTTTATTGAATGTAGCACGATTTTAAAAAAGATGTTTCACAAATATATATAAATTTTTTTTCAAATTTTTCTCTTGGATTATTTGTCTTCAACAAAAAGAGAGAAGAAATGTCTCAATTAAAGCTTTCCTCTCCTACCGAATCTTTTTCAAGCAACAAAATAAATAATTTACAAAATGTTCAGGATTCTAGTGAAATCATTAATGGTGGCGGCGGCGATCACTTGGTAGATGAAATAAAAGCAACATGTGAATTACAATGGTCAAATTTGGTACATGCTGAAATTATATCTGTTACAAGTGCAATGAGAAAAAATTCTCGATGGTCTGGTATGAACGTAACTGGTTTAAATATGGGTGGATTGGGTATAAACATGGGTTTAAGAAGAGTTTACGTTGCTGAGATAGGTTATAGAAATCAAGTAAGAAAGATTTAAGATATCTTGTTAAGAGATTTTGTTGAAGATATTTTAATTAATTTGATTTTTATAGGAAAGTCCATTGCTGATTGGTTTTTCAAACCTTAGATCTCATTTATCAACTATTTCAGGTTTAATATTGTTATATTTTCCTTTCTTCTCAATTAACTAATTAATGATAATTAATTGATATATATTTATATTACATTTCATTTATAAAAATATAAAGGATTAAATGAGATTGATGCAGTGGTATTACTAGAGCCTTTTTTGGAAGTTATCAAATCTGGAGATACGAATGGTCCTATAACTGCAACAGCACTTGGAAGTGTGGAGAAATTTTTGACATATGGAATTTTAAATATGAATTCACCAAATCTGCCTCAAGCAATGTCGATGCTATCATCTGCTGCAACTCATTGTAAATTTGAAGGAAGTGATTCTGTATCAGATGAATTTGTGCTCTTGAAAATTTTACAGGTGCTAAGATTATCTTTAACTTCTGAAGTTGGTCGAGTCCTTAGCGACGAGGCTCTTTGTGTTATGATGGAGACTGGTTTAAGCATGTGTTGCCAAATGAGACTTAGTGGTATGTGCAAATTTAAAATAAATTCATTTTAAAATAATCTAGTTGCTTTAAATTTTATTTTTGCTAATAATGTTTTTTTAAATTTAGAAATGCTGCGTAGATCAGCAGAACATACAATGATTGTAATGGTTCAAAATATGTTTGAAAGGTGTTTATTTATTTATTTTGTTTATTTATTGAAATAATATTAATAAATTTCATATTTTACCTAATCTAGACTCAAATCTTTGGAGGAAAAACCATCGTCATTATTTTCTCGTGAAAATGGTGACGGTGAAAATGACTCTTCTCAAGATTTACAAGTTCGCATGGCACCACCAGATCCAAAATCACCTCATCTTCCTTTATCCATGGAAAACATCACTGATCCATTCAATAATATTAGCAATAATAACACAAATACTATTTCAATTTCTAATAATGATGATTTGGTAAAGTTAGATAGAAAAGGAGAAGAGGTGGTAGAAGATGACGAGGTGGAATCAAATTATGAAATTTTGACAACTCAAGAAGGGAGATTATCAACCGGTACTTATTTCTATTTCAAACTAGTATTCCTTAATGTTGTAATTAGCTAGATTTATATTCGTACCATCAATTAGATGTCGAATGTAATTTTTGTTGAATTACAAAATACAACACCAAACTAAACGATAAATAATACAAAACATGACTAATCTACAACAAAGTTACTGAACCTTCTAGCGAAGCTTTGAATGAAGAAGAAAAAGAATCAGGTATTTATTCATATTTCATATTATAATAATAATGATAATCATAAATATTTATAAATTTTTTTGTTTAAAAAAAAAAAACAGACCCTAAACCATTTGGAGTACCTTCAATACGTGAATTACTTCGTGTTCTCATATCATTACTCAATCCTCACGATCATCAACACACTGATACTATGCGACTCATGGCTCTTGGTATTTTGAATGTGGCATTTGAAGTTGGTGGTCGGACGATAGGTCGATTTGAAGTTTTACGTAATCTTGCTGTCGATGAATTGTGCAAATATCTTTTCCAAGTAATTATTTTTTTTGTTTTAATAAAAAGTTTATCTAATAACATATTATTTATCAGATTAAGATATTTAATTGACTAATTTGTTTGTAATTTAGTTGGCACGTACAGACAACATGATATTGTTATCATTAACAATTCGTGTTATCTCAACAGTTTTCGGCACACTTCGTCCATATCTTAAATTACAACAAGAACTTTATCTATCATTTTTAATTGAAAGGTTAACACCACCATCGTACAGTCTAAGATCTCTTGCATTAAATGAGGCATTTTCTAGTACTAACACCGATAATTCTCTGCAACTTGATCCTGGCATTCCAATATCACCAAATCGTGAGCAACGTAATTTTAAAATGAGTGATGTTTCATATGCTACTGGTGAAATCCGTGAATTATTGTTAGAATCATTGGGACAATTTGCTAGAGAGTCTTCTTTCATGGTTGATTTGTGGGTTAATTATGATTGTAATGTTGATTGTGGCGATTTGTTTGAGGAGGTTATTAAATTCTTAAGTAAGGTAAAAATCGGCAAACAAAATAATTTATTAATTAATTAGTTTCATATATATAAATTTTAATTTATATAACAACTAAATTTTATAGAATTCTTTCCCCGACTCCATTGGATATTCTGTGAGCAATTCACATACAATATGTTTTGATGCACTTTTAATGTTTGTAAATCATATGATAGATCGGTTACAGGTAATTAGTTGGTGTAAAAACTTTTTTGGTGGAGTGCTTTATTGTTATTATTATTCCAAAAATTTAATTGTTTTTATAAATATTGACATGTACTTAATAAAATGTCTTGTTGAAATCAAACTGTGGAAGCAGATCTTGTAGTGTCTTGGGTATTTATTACAAGATTCTTTATCATGATAAATGATTGGTATCGTTTTTGCTTTTCGTAATCAACACTAATAATAATAATATTACAATTACAAGAAGATGTCAAGGTGATAGAAGGAAGGGAAATGATTCTATATGCGACATTTTCATAATTGTACACTTCACAGACGTCAAGGCACACACGCGCCACCTTGAGCACATTACAGTCATTCTCATACATTCCTCATGTACAAAAGGCTAATCTGACTTGCATCCCTCGATGATACAACGTTGCGACTGAATTCCAGGGGAGGGCCACATTGCTCTGGAATTTATCAAGATGCATCATTATCAAGGACTCTTTTCACTCATCTTTTCCTCATACCGCCTGACCAGAGAAGGCTGCTGATATGCTGGCCGAAGTTGAGTGCAACGATCCTACCTCAGGGGTAAAGATGGCTGGCCATGCAACAAAAAAGTTGGGGAACTCGAGTTGTTGCAGCCTGGGTTGAAGAGTTGTGATTTTAGGTGTACATCAACATCTAGATTCGTTGAGGCAATGAGAAATTGCTGCAACTTGTTTCAAGCTCGGGCAGGAATTTGTAATTCAGACTGGGATTGGAGACTCTGAAAATCGCATTTGTGCTCTGATGTTAAGAGGAAAGTCATAAAATAGTTTTTGTTCAAATGGTAATATCTTTGTTAGCTAAATACCAACACTGATCCCCTGGCATCAAAATGGAATTTTTGCACTTCTTTCAAAAAGGATCAACAAGAAAAAAACAATAAACAGTTTGGATTTTGGTATGTTCTGCACAAATTAATCATTTTTCAAAATTTCTTTTTCTTGGTAAATTATTAATTTGGTTAACCAAATTTATTGTTTTTTAAACAGAGTAGGTGACTGGGCTTTTGCCCAAATTGTTTCTTGCCCTAGGTAGGCATGCCCTGACAAAACAGCAACTTCTTCAGTTGCAGAATTTCATACCAGTTGCAAGCACCAACTTTTACTCTAGTGGTACAACAATCATTGCACAGCATCAACAATCAATGCTGTATGGCAGCAGCCAAGTCTGGTCTGAGGGGAAGATTAGGGAAATTTTTTTGTCCACCTTGAAAAAACCTTCCAACTTGTAAGTGTCTCTCACCTGTGGGAAAAATTCCATAGGAATGAGATGGTGTGAAAGCACCCGTGTGCAATGTTTGTGATAGGAAAATTTAATTAAATCTGACACCTGTGATCAACATCAGATTTATTATTCATAATTGATAATCAGGAAAAACAATTTATTTTGTAAATCCCAGAGATCTGGGTAGACACAC